CTTTATGTTTAATTCTTTTATCTCTTTACTATTAATTGGTTTGTGTAATGCTTTTAAATTATGTTTTGTTTTGTCTTGATTTGATCTGATTTGGTGTTGACAAATATTGAACCAACAAATGGGTTTGTCGACATGTCCACAGGTCTTCGCACTGGCTAATCCATCCAATTCCATTCCCTAAGCACGAGCATGTAGTTCGCCTTTAAATTTCGTTTATGTAATAAAGATCTCTGTCGTTGCAGGTCTCACACGTGACATCAATAACTTGACGCAGCGATATGATTCGGAAGCGGACCCGGCAGCTGATCCGGATACGGATGCCACTGGCGACAGCATCGAGCAAAGTTTGACTACAGTTACACCGCCTAACAAGATGCAGCACTCACTGCATGCTGGTGTCTCGAATCTGACAGGGGGAATCGGTCCACGATCCTCACAACAACACAGCTCATTCAAACGTCCGGTGATGGGCAATCGCGGCCTGGAGACACGTCAAAGCAAGCGCTCGCAGCAGCCGGCACCGATCAACGTGACCCCCAATGGCAATGCCAGCACACCGGTGCTACCTGCTCACCCCATCACTGTGGGTGCTTTGGAGGTTATGAATGTTAAGCGGGTTGTCAATCGTTATGGAACCTTGCCCAAAGGGGCACGTATAGGTGCCTTCCTGGACAGCCTAGAAGACAGCAGTAGCAGCAATAGCAGTGGCGCCGGGACGGGCTCTGAGGCACCAGTCAATGGACATACCACACCAGCAGCAACCACAGCAGCTGCAGCAACAGGTCGAGCGCTACCCGCTGTGCCCGCCTTGCCAACAGCGACTAGCAAATCGCAACAGGTACCACAACAGATGATTCGAAGCAATTCCTCTGGCGGCGTGACTATGCAGAACAATGCAGCGGCCAGTTTGAATAAGCTGCAACGACATCGCACCACAACAGAGGGTACCATGATGACCTTCTCCTCGTTCCGTGCTGCTGGAAGCAGCAGTTCGCCTAAGCGTAGTGGCATTACACAGCCGGCGCTGGCTAATCTGGAGTTTCCACCGCCGCCGTTGGAGGAATTCGAGGCATTGCCGCCACCACCGCCACCGCCAGCACCTGAGAGCGCCGTCCAGGCCATACAACAGCATCTGCATGCTCAGCACAGCAGCAGCAACGATGTTAGCAATACGGCGCCCAGCGTCGAGGAGGCCAGTTCCCGGTTTGGTGTCTCGCTCCGCAAACGTGAACCATCCACAGATTCGTGTAGTTCGCTGGGCACACCACCCGAGGCGTCAGTATCAGCAGCAACAGCAGCAGCCGAAGAGAAGGGTCTGAATCTTAAAGAGAAACTCATCACAGAAATCAAATCAGCGGGCAAGCCATCCGATCCATCTATAGGCTATACCAATGGCGGTGCCTCAGTCGTTGTGGATCCTGTTGCCCAATTGGTTACCGAGCTGGCCGAGAGCATGAATCTGCCGAAGCCCTCAAAACTGACTAATGGCAATTGCAGCACCAACACCAACAACAGCAACAACAACAACTTCAAGGCACAATTGAAGAAAGTAGAGCCAAAAAAATTGAATACGCCCATTCCAAAGGCTGAGCAGTCCACAAACATAATAGACTTCAAGGCGCATCTACGCAAAGTGGACAAAGTGGAGCAGCAACAGCCCAAGGAGCAAAGTCTTCAGCAACAACAGCAACAATCGCCAAACGCCAATTGCAATACAGCGCGCAGGGATGAAACCAAAAAATTTTGTGCCGCGAATCAAAAGACTGAAATCAAAATCGATGTTAGCAACTCCAATATGGATACGGATGGAGGCGAAACGGGCACAGTCACAGGCACGGGCAACAGCTCAGACGGTGGCAAGCGACGCAGCACAGGTAGTATTAATAGTTTAAAAAAACTTTGGGAGCAGCCTAGTGGCGACTATGCCAGCACAACAATCCCACAGACCATGGCAACGAGCAATGGTGGCGGCGCCAGTGCCCAATTGTCGCCTAAATATGGCTTCAAAGCAATACAGCAGCCGTTGGGTAATCTTACTGGGAATAGCAAAGTGTTTGGTAATAAACCGCCGCCCGCGGCACCACCACCACCGCCCCCAATTAGCAGCACTCCAAGCACCACAGCACAGTCCAAGCCAGCAGTAGCTGCCACAACCAAATTAGCAACCACAGCAATAAAAACATCTCTTTCAACGCAACTCTTCACAGATGCCGAAGGCAGCAGCAGCAATGAGGAGCAGCASCAGCAGACAGGTGATCAAGCGGAGCTGATGACGCAGTCGCTCTATAGCGATCAGTACAACAACTCCAACGCCAACTCCTCGAATCAGCAGTCGCCTCTACCGAGCAATGCCAACAACAAGCTCAACACCTCCTCCAGCAATAGTCAGAATAAGCCTGCCGTGCCGCACAAGCCCACCAAGTTGACTATCTATGCCACGCCCATAGCCAAAATCGCTGGGATCGGTGTCGGCGGCGACAACATCAATTCGACGCAAATCTCTAGGGAAAGCATTTTGGAGCTGGTGACATTACTGGAGGGCTCACTGAAGCATCCAGTGAATGCAATCTCTGCATCGCAGTGGCTGCAGCTCAGTGATAAGTTGAATATCCTCCAAAACTCATGCGTGGTCTTTGCGGAGAACGAGTCGATGCCACCGCACTCGAAGTTTCATTTTCGCGAGCTTGTAACCCGAGTGGAGACGCAGTCGCAGCATCTGCGCACTGCCGGCAGCAAAAATGTGCAGGATAATGAGCGATTGGTTGGCGAGGTGGGTCAATCGCTCAAACAGATCTCGAATGCACTGCATAGGTAAATGATAAGAACGGGGATGGACGCACAGCAGAGCGGTGTTGCGCCAGCTGACAACAACGGCGCCGGCATATGGCTAGATGCCGAAGGCAATTTTATCAAGCGCAAGCAGCAGCCCCACTGAGAAAATATACATATAAATATGTATCGATATCCATATACATATGTATGTATTAGACGCACACATTGCTCCCACCATCCCCCTCACCCACTTCCAGCGAAGGCGGACGACAGAAGACAACGAACTGAAAACGGATTAAACGATAGCATAACTACAACTTGAAAGCCCAGCGATGAAGCTCAGCAACAGACAAACAGCAACATTACAAAAAACAAAATGCAACTATAATTAATTATTAATATATACATATACTATATAGTAGTTGGTAGCATGTAGTACCAACTGCAGTAGTATTTAGTAGTCGTAGCGATTATACATATATCTAGTCATATATCTGATGCATCTGCTTATATCCAGAGATAAACAGAGAGAGAAGGAGAGATAGAAAGAGTGGGCTTCGAAACTGAGTTGCAAAGCAAATTTTTCTATATAATTACGTGTTCTACTATTTTCTTTGATTTCAATTGTGAATAATATGTATTACACCTTACTCACGTTATTCTTTTGGCCACTTCTTTTCAATTAAGCTTAAGCTTTGTTCTAATTAATATTGGAAGACATATACATAAGTGCATATAGAGAAGGTTGGTAATGCCAACATATTGATCAATATAAATATATATAAATTAGTAATTACAT